CAAGAGACAGAAAGGGCCATATAAACCAGAGACTTCATCAGCCTGAGACCATAAGAACTAGATGGTGCCCGGCTACCACCAATGACCACCCTGACAGGGAACACAACAGAGAGGCCCAGATAGAGCAGGAGAAAGGTGGTGTGCAAAACTCAAATTCTAGTAAGAAGACCAGACTTAATGGTCTGAGACTGGAGGAACCCCGGAAAGCATGGCCCCCGGATTCTCTATCAGGCCAGAACTAAAACAATTTCCAATGCCAACTCTTCAGACAGGGATTGGACTGGACTGTGGGATATAAAGTGATACTCGTGAAGAGTGTGCTTCTTAGGTCAACTAGATACAAGAGACTAAACAGGCAGCTTCTGTCCAGAGGTGAGATGGGAAAGCAGAGAGGGTTAGGAGCTGGTTGAATGGACACGGGAAATCAGGGGTAGGAAGAATGTGCTGTCACAGTATGGGGAGAGCAATTAGGGTCGCACAAAAATGTATATATAAATTTTTGTATGGGAAAAAATAAAAATTAAAAGGTGAAAAAAAAATTAATAAGAACCTAATTTTAAAGGTGCAAAGAAAAGAGGGTAAAACAACATATTGATAGAATAAATGAAGATTAGAGAGCTAAGAAAACTGAGGACAAAAATAACACTATTATAGAATTCATCCGAAATAGAATGGAACAGAATAAAGAGTGAAAATCAAATTACTGATAGAGGAAAGGCTTGTGGTAATCACAGTTAATGCAGATTTTTTTTAAGTGCCTAAAATCATAAGCTTTGAATATGCAGAACAAATCAATATAACCTAATACAAGGATAAATAGTATCTATGAAGTTAAGAAAGAGAATATATTCTAACACATAATACAGGAAATTCTCCCTGAAAAGAAGAAACAAAGACTGAAAAAGTCTACGTCATGAATAATTGATTCAGAAGATCAACACAAAGAATATTCTTATTAAATTATAAAACATTAAAGAAGAAAAACAAATTCTTTAGGTTTCCAAGTGGCAAATGCAAGTTACCTATAAGAAAGAGGGGGGAAAAATCAGGCTGTCCTCAGGCTCCTCCACAGCAATGGTTAATGCCGGAAGAAAATGGAATCATGTTTAAAAAACTCTGAAGAAAAGATACTGTGGATCATGAATCTGACCTCTAGCCAAGATGTATGTAATTCACGCATAAATACCACAGGCTTTAAGTATGTAAGAACTCAAGGAATACAACACATATGACCACTTCCAAAGTACTTTTTAATAAAATTCAGCCTACCGGGAGACAAATCACAACAAAGAACTCATAAATGGAGAATTAGTGAGCACTGAGTCCATTTTTATAAACAATAAAAACTAAACTGAATGGTTTATAGTTACATGGCAAAATATAAATATTATAAATTTTAACAAAAACAAAATTATGAAAAATTGTTGGGGGACATGAAGACGATGGGAAGAAATCTGGGTCCTCATCTCTAGCAGGGAGTTCCTCCAAATTGTCAAAAACTGAAATGGAGTTTAATAAATATAATGACTCCAAACTCTTCGTATTTTTCATTATTTTTATGACTTTAGAAGAATCTTACAGAAAATGATGCCTCTTGTGATAAAGAAACAAATTCATTATAAATTCAACAATTCCCTCAATTTTACTTCAGTTTCTTTTCCTTCTTCTCTTAAAATTCAACTACAACTGAGATTAAGGCTTTTTATTAAGAAATATCATGGATAGCAAAATTCTGCTTTACAAAGTTATCTATTCATATAATCTGAACATAATTCTGAGAGGTGTCTGGTAGGTTGTTTACTTAATGTTAATGTTGACTATGTCCTTTGCTATATTGCTTGAATTCTTTAAAATGAGAATGAATCATTTTTATAAGAATATGCTATTATTCTAAATAAAAAATAATATTAAAGAAAGACAAAGTAATGCATTTTTATTAAGCCTTGAAGCCCATGGAAGGTCCCTGAAGGCAATGGAAGGTCCTTGAAGTTTTTAAGCTGTGAAGTAATATAATAATGCCCTTCCAGAAGGATTAATTTGGAGGCAGCTAGGGAAAAGGGCAAGAATATCGACTCCAAGTATTAGGACGAAGATAAAAAGAAAAAAAAACTGGTGACAGCTGCAATGGAAAGGAAAACACATGAGAGACTACAGAGTTATAGAATCTACAGCTGAATGTATACACAAGACTCGGGAAAAGGAGTAAGCAAAGACTAGCTTATCTTTGTGCCTTGTACACAAAACTGGTCAAAAAAAAAAACAGGAACACTGAAGTAAAGTAAATTATCTCAAGTTTACCAAGCTTAGGTTAACATGAGACTAGTGATATTATCCGAAATACAGAATTCAGGAAAAGTAGATGGTTGGGACACAAGCGGTGGCAAACTGAAAATACAGGACAAAATGATATTATAAGGACTTAAGGAAGACATGAGTGATGAGGTAGTGGAAATGAGCTCAGACCACTCTTTTTAAGGAATTTACAAAAGGAAAGTGTAATAGCCAAGGAGTACTATCGCTAAAAACAAGTGTTTAGAAGTTAAGAAGACCTGATCTTATTCATAATGAGGAAGGAAGTAGGTAATCTAGAAGAAGAAAGCAAAGGTACAGGCACAAGAAGTTAATTAATGCAAATCCCAAGAGTAGACAAGCGGACATAGATACTGGACCCACAAGGAGAAGGGCTTCTGGCACAAATAAGAGAAATGATGTTTTCTCTTCAAAGAAAAAAGAGAAATAAACTAATTCTAAGTAAATATGTTACAAATGAAAATGAATCAATGAAACCGTTAAAAAACTGAAAATAAAAGTCAATTTCATACTACTAAAAGACTACAATCCAAGATAAAGACAAGTTCTGAATTACTCTGGCTGCAATATTAATCACTATCAACTAAATACTAAATAACCTGTTTTCAACCATCAATCTACCCAAGAACAAACTAAAGAGTTGGAATCGACTCGACGGCAACAGGTTTGGGTTTGGTTTTTATTAATTTATTCCAAGGACTCACAAAAAGTATATGTAGAAAAAAAATCATATCTTGACTATATAAGAGGATTATAATTAATATATTTGTTACATGCCCTAAGAGAAGTATAGTTCTAGTTGAATTTAAATATTTTTTTTAAACCAAAACAACATCACTGGGTTATTAATACTTTCTGATTGGTAATAGAACAAAAGAAATGCATTAAGAAAAAAATAAGTCAGAGTAGAAATATATCATTCTACAATTTGAGAAAGGTTTTATAACAGAAATGAGCATTTTAATGAACATTTACAGTATGCCAGGAGCCCTGGCGGCATAGTGGTTAAGCGCTCGGCTGCTAACCAAAAGGTCGGCAATTAGAGCTCACCAGCTGCTCCACGGGAGAAAGATGTAGCAGTCTACTTCCGTAAAGATTTACAGCCTTGGAAACCCTACAGGGGCAGTTCTGTTCTGTCCTATAGGGTTGCTATGAGTCATAATTGACTCGAGGCAGTGAGTACTGTATGCTTGTGATGGCATTAACTGCTTTACAACATGCATAATCTCATTTAATCCTTTCAGCAATTTTTTTACATGTAGGTACTATTATCTCTATTTCATAGACGAACAAACAGGCTCAGAGAGGTAAAACTATGCTTAAGGTCATTCTGCTCTGAGTGATAAGAGTCAGGACCTGAATCCAAGTTTATCAAATGCCAGACACTTCAGTCTTCACTATGACAATAAACAATTATTTCTGAAGAAGTAGGACACTTTGGTATATGTGGAATCCAAATTTTCTGATTGTAAAAATCACCTGGAGGGCCTGTGACACATAAAGACCCCAAGGTTCCATGCCAATGTTACTGAATAAGACCCTGCAGAGAAAGAGCTGGGGAATCTGTCTTTTTAACAATGGCTCAGATGTTATGATTAGACAAGATTAGGAAACACTGGTGCCTAAGTCAGGGTTCTCTAGAGAAAAAGAACCAGTGAGATACTATATAACATATATATAGAGAGAGAGTTGCTTTGAGGAACTGGCTAACACAATTTTTTACAAGACATTATACACACCTACTAAAATGACTAAAATTTAAATGTAGGACCGTGTCAGGTGCTGGTGAGGATGTGGCATAACTAACACTCATTCTTTGCTGGTAGGAATGTAAACTAGTATATCCACTTTGGAAAATTGTTTCTTTAAAAGTTAAATGTGAACTTATTATAAAGACCTTGGCAATCAACTCCAAGGTATTTACCCAAGAAAAATGAAAGCACACATCTACACAAAGACTTGTACATAAACGTTCACAGCACTTTATTTGAAATAGTCAAAAACTGGAAAAAAAGCAAATGCCCAGGAACATGTGATTGGATTAATAAATTATGGTACTTCCACACAGTACAAAGGTACTTCTCAGCAATGAAAATGAAGGAACTCTCGATACACACAACCGCATGTACGCATCTCAAAATAACTGCTGAGTGAAAGAAGCCAGATGAAGGAATACATACTGTATGATTCCATTCATATAAAATCCTAGAGAATGCAAACATTTATAGTGACAGAAAGCAGATCAGCAATTGCCTGGGGACAAAGTTACAGGAAGGAATGAATTACACAGGGGCATGAAGAAACTTTTGAGGGAAATTGTTCATTATCTTCATTGTACTGATGGTTTCAGAGGTATTTATACGCCAAAACTCATCAAATTGCATACTTTACACATGTGCTGTTTACTGTCCGTCAATTACACTTCAATAAAACTGTAAAAAATAATATATAGCTCATAGGATTATTTATGAATAAAATATTACACCTAGTAAGTTTTAAATGAGTCTGTAAAATACTCTTATACTGGCACATAATAAACACTACTATTACTATTACATAACAACTGAAAAAAGTACTTGGGTAACTAATCCAGTGTTTAAAGCATCTACCATATACCTTAGCTTCTTCCTCTTGTGCTTTTTTCACAATTGCTTGTAATTGCACCTCTCGTTTAAATTCAGCATGAAGTAATTTCTCCTCCATCATCCTACGTCGTTGATCTAGTAACTCTTCCTTCCACTTCCGGACATCCTTCTCCTATATATAGTGAATTATCCCATCATTAATTTCAATATACATTCATTTAACAGAAGTGCGAACAGGTAAATAGCTTATGAATATATAAAACCTAGAAGCTGGAAGCCAGTTCTAAAGCAGTGTGACTAATGATTAAGAACATAGAGAGGTAAAACTGAAGCTGGACTGCCTGAGTTCGCAATCTACCTTGGCCATTTATTGGCCACTTATCAGCTGTGTAAGCTGGGCAAGATTTTTAGCTTATGCCTCAATTTCCTTATCTATAAAACGGAATACTTACAGAAACTAAATCATGGGGTTTGTTTTGAGGATTAATATATGTAAAGCAGTTATATTAGAAATACACTAGACATAACTCTATAAAAGTATTTGCTGTTATTCTCATTGCACTGAACCAGGAGTGCACCTAAAGTGAACATAAGTGTACATTTCTTATCTTTATCAATGTTAAAATCTCTATAACCCAACTTCAAGACAAATAAGTAATTGTATCTTAGAGACTGGAAAATGGTGAAAAGTCTAAAAAATATAACATTATTTGCATAAGAAACACTGCCTGAAGAAAAAGAGAGGGTTTAGCCTACAGCAGAATGAAAATAGATATGATAGATACTTTTAATTCCTTAAAACAATATGAAACAGGAGAAGTAACAGACTTGTTCTGTGCTGTTCCAGGAAATCAGATCCAGCACCAGGGAAAATAAATTATAGAAAATCAGATGTTGGCTCAGCATGAGGGGAAAAAATTGTAACATTTTAGTTGAATTTTAGCTAAATATTCATGTGTAGAACCATCTGAAAAAGTATGCTTAGAAATAAACAGCACTGGAATAGGAGCCAAAGGAGAGATCCTTAAAGCCTGAGCTCTGTAAATGACTGACACTGAAAAGAGAACTTTTGTCTCTCCTAGATTCAGTTTTCACATCTGTAAAATGGGTGTCAGGCACAAGGGTTAAGCGGTCTAGCTGCTAACAGAAAGGCTGGCAGTATGAACCCATCCACAGGCTCTGTGGGAGAAAGACCAGGCAATCTGCTTCCGTAAAGATTACAGCCTAGAAAACCCCATGGGGTGGTTCTACTCTGTCACATGCGGTTGCTATGAGACGGAACTGACTCAACCGCATTCAGCTACATCTCCCCTGTGTGCCTCAGATGCACTGTAGTTACCAGATGAAACCACATATGTAGAACATTACTGAAAACAATAACCCATCATACAAATGGAAGGTGGAATTTACCATTTTAATTACTTGAAGGAATACCTGCATTGATGGGAAAATTAAACCAGAGAATCTCTGAAGTCTTGTACAATTTCAAGTCTATGATTTTGTATGCATGAATACTTGGAGACTATATTATACAGGGAGAAAATGTACTGTATAATTTTATTTGCACTAAAAAACACAGTAACAGAGAAACTGTGGTTATATTAGAGCACTTCTTTGAAGCTGTAAATGAAATAATATACTAACTCTCATAAAACCCAACAACATGGAGACTGTTGTTCCTATCTGATCTATTCATTTTAAATTATTAAAATAAAAATAATGACAAATTCCTGAGATTCAGGTAAAAGAAAAGAATTACAGATTTTCTTCCTGTCTCAGTGAACTTTACTACTGTACTAAAGAGAATTTTATGCTACCTAATTCATTATTATAAACATTAGGATTATTTGGTCTAATTATCTTTCCCAAACTTAAAAACACACACTGTAAGTAATAAAAATAATATGCTTCACCTATGTATCTAATACTCTTTTTTAGTACCACAAGGTAACAAAGGAATTCACCTATAATATAATGGTCATATATCTTTTGTCACGCTGTGTTAGGTCCTTGTGGCAGGCAGCCTCCAAGCTGCCTCCCAATGATCCCAGCCTCCTGATATTCAGACCCTCATGTAATCCCCTCCCACACTGTGTCAGGGCTGTTACCAAGAGAACACAGCAAAAGTGACGGTATGTCACTTCTAAGATTAAGCTATAAAGGCCTTCGCAGCTTCCATCTTGGCAACTGTCTTGCTCACCCTTACTCTCTCTCTCGCATTATTTGCTCTGGGGAAACCAGTAGCCATGTCATGAGGACAGCTGGGCTATAGAGAGGCTCAAATGGCAAGAAACTGAGGTCTCTAGCCAACAGCCAGAGAGGAACTGAGGCCTGGTCAACAACCACAAGAGTGAGTCTGGAAGTTAATCCTAAAGCTCCAGATGACTACTGCCCCGGCCCAGCCAACAGCTTGACTGCAGCCTCATGAGAGACCCTGAACACGAATCACCAGGGCAAGCCATTCCTGGTTTCCTTGCCCAGAGAAACTGTGAGAAAATAAATGTTTGCTGCTTTAAGATGCTAAGGTTTGAAGTCGTTTATCACACAGCATAGTTAACTAACACAGTACTCATCTACATCTGCCATGTGTTTATGTAGCAATAAGAGTGACCATTATGTGGAGCAACAGCTATCCTATCACTATGCTACTGTTTTACATACTTACCTCACGTCATCACCACAACAGCCACACAAGGTTAATAATTATAATTCTCATTTTACAGATAAAGAAATTGAAATGCAATAATGTTAGTATCTTGCCCAGGGCCTTCTACCTTGTTGTGTGGTAAAACCAGGATTTGAATCAGGTCAGCCATCTCCAGAGCCCATTCTCTTTGCACTATACCATACTAATTAGTAGTTACACTAGTATAAATACTCCAAGAATCTTCCCTGAAAATGTAATTGCTATCCTATTTATTCAGACTTGATAATCTGAGGCTCAAAATCATCGTACCAAGTTATTCTACACTTTGGATAAAACTTCCCCAATTGCAAATGGCAAAAGACGAAAAGTAGCTTTAATAATCCATGCCAATACTGAAAAAAAAAAATCAATTTACTAACTTAGGAATGGCAATTCTTAGAGATTAACCTTCTAGGATTCAACAGTAGAAATGTATTTAATTTATAGAAAATTCAATCACCTTTATGGTTCTTTTAGCTTCCCTCAGACCAGAAGAAAAAGGCAAGTTGAAACTAAGCCCGTGACTTTAAGACTATCATAATTTCCTTAAAAAACGAAAACAAAAATTTCACTGAAACATACCCTTTCTAACAACTTTTGAAGCTTTAATGTTTTCTCTTCACGTAACTTTTCCCTTAGCTGCTGTGCTTTCATTTGCTTTTCTTCATGTTTCTTCTTAGATTCTGCTATTGTTCTATTAACACAAACGGACAGGAAACACAAATGCTTACATGAAAAAGCAAAAAATACTGTTCTTTAGTCCTCAAAGTTCTTAAAATAAATATAAAAAATCTACAAAACTAATTTTGGCCTAACATCTCAGGAAAACATTGTCACTTTTCAATGGATGTGGAACTGTCCTGAAGGGTAATATGCCTTAAAGGTTATGCAGTAACTCTATTTAACAGTCAAGAGTGACTGGTTTCTGTCCTGTGAAACATTTCAAATTAATGTTCAAAGGGCAGACCTTTTGCGAGATGGGGAGGAAAGTTTTTCATGCATGTGAATTCCATGCCCTGGAGGTCTAGCAGGTTCCTCCTCTACAATATCCCCCCAGGATGTATTTTGGCGCCAAGATTCACGAGCTGTTAGGAAAAAAGAAAACCACTGTTATTGTTTAACCACATAGTTCTATAAAACTAGCATTTGAGAACAGACTGTTGAAAGCACATTAACATTCCCATTCCAAATTATTTATTTTACACAGAAACTCCTTTAATAAAATAATCTATTTTCTACTCCACTACACACAGGGGAGTCCTCGGGTGGTGCAAATGGTTAACACCCTTGGCTGCTAACCAAAAGGTTGGAGGTTCAAGTCCACCCAGAGGTGCCTCGGAAGAAATGCCTGGCAGTTAACTTCTGGAAAATCAGCCATTGGAAATCGTATGGAGTAAAGCTTCACACAAGCACAGGGTCACTATAAGTCAGAATCAACTCAGTGGCAACTGGTTTTTACCTACACACACAGGTAAACACACATGAACAATACCTTCATAATCTGCAAGGACATCGTTCCAGTCCATAGACAAACCACAGAAAGTTACGCTTCCACTGCCCATACCGGCCTACAATGTAATAAGGAACATTGAAAAACACATCTTTGAACATAATTAGAACCTTAAAAAAATGAACTACACAGGAAATTTTCCTACTTAATTATATTTCATTCAACCAACAGTTCAAACCTAGGATAAAGCTATATACCTCTTGTAGTCACAATAATCACCTACATTTTAAGAGAAAGACATACTTGCTACTTTTAAAAGCAAAGACAAATCAAGTAAATTTAAATAAGAAATGTAATGGCCTTCTATTATTACTACGTAAATGCCGACATATACAGAACATACATTTGAAGAGTTCGAGATTATTTGCTAGGCATTAAACTTTAATAGGAAAATAAGTAAACCATTACGGTTATTTTTACTTTTCAACAAATCACCCTCATCAACATACATTTCCTAAGCACCTAGTCAGAGCAAGGCAGTGTGTAAATTATCTTAAAATTTTTCTTCCACTGCTACAAATTACAATCTAATGTTGAGTTCTTACTTTCTCTGAAATTCAGTTTCTTGATTTGAAAAACGAAATACCATAGCTTTGGACTTGGCGACGACATCTTATATAAAAACAATGATCGTGATGCTAAAAAAAGTTGGCTGTAAGTTCTCAGTCACACCAATTTATTATTATTATTGCTACTGAAGAAAATTTATAAATAAATTATAACTAAGACTACTGAAACTCTAAGTATTTCCGGCCCAATTATTTCACTTCTGAACATAATTGAACAATTATGTTAAAAATTCTCACTGAAAAATCACTGTCGTTGTCAGTTTCAATGTTAATATCATTGTTTTCTTCAGCTTCGATTTCTCTAGTTAACTGTTCTTCTTCAGCAATGGCACTAGCAATGGCTTCTTCATTGGCCTTTTCTAAACGATCTGCTAACTCTTCTTTTTTAGCAAGAACTTCTGCCATGGACTATAAAGTTGAAAACAAACAAAAACAAGAATCATCTCCAGACTGGAAAGTAATCATTTCTTTCTTCATGTTCTAATTATCACCTCAACAGTATTTAAAAAAAAAAAAAAAAAAAAAAGCACTGCTCTAAAATCATAAACCCGGGGCCCAGTATAAGCACAACCATTTGTTAGTTGTGGAAGTTACAAGTTTCTTAAAACCAAGAGTCTGTTTCATATTCCATAAAATGGGACAATAATCTATAACTTACCTTCTTTATAAGATGGTTGTGTATGAAAAACGGTAAAGCTATAGATGTAATCATTATATTAGTGACAAAGTGAATTTCATTTGAGTGTCTAAATTAATAACACATATCAAATATACTCACTGAATAACAAAAGAAAAAAAATGCTATAATAGGAACATGGAAAGAATTTATCCTGTAATGGTGACAGTACTTTCTGAACATATATACCTAACTTTAAAATATACATTAGAAGTAATACAAATAATATGCATCGGAACCATTAATTAATAAATCACTGTGATAAGCTAAAGATAACCTGAAAGCAACCACTGAAATAACAAAACAAAAAGTTATAGCTAATAAGCCAACAAAGAAGATAAAATGGAATTATAAAATATACTCAATCCAAAAAGAGGGAGAAAAAGAGAAAAGGAGAAAGAAAAATAGATAAGTCAAGGGGAAAACAAATAGTAAGATGTGTATCAACAATCACATTATATTTAAATAGTTTAAATACCCCAACTAATAGGCAGAGACTATCAAATTAGATTAAAAAGCACGACCCAGCCAATACTGCCTGTAAGACACTTAATTTAAATATAAGGATACAAAAGGATTAAAGGTAAAAGATATACCATGCTAACAATCATCAAAAGTAAGCTGAAGTGACTATATTAATATCAAACACAGTCAACTTCAGAGCAAAAATTATTACTAGTGATAAAGAACGTCATTTCATAATGAATAAACAGGTCAATGCATCAAGAAGAAAATATAATCCTAAACATTTATAAACTTAATAAGACAGCTTCAAAATACATGAAACAAAACCTGATATAACTGCAAAAAGAAATAAACCTGGTGAAAATGTAAAATGGTGCAGCCACTTTGGAAAACACTCTGACAGTTCCTCAAAAAGGTTAAACATAAAGTTACCATATGACCCAGCAATTTCACTCCAAGGGCTATACCAAGGAAAAATAAAAAACATATGTCCACACAAAAACTTTTATATGGAGTATTCATAGCAGCATTATCTGTAATAGCCAAAATGAGGAAACAAGAGATTCCAGAACAAAGATGACAGAGTAAGAAGCCCCTTGCTCCTGACCTTCCACAGAAAAGTTTTGAAAAAGCAGAAAATGACAGTACTAGCCTTGCTGGAACTCTGCTAAACGGTCGGGGGATCACAGAAGCCAGGTGAAGACTTGTCAGAAGAGTAGGAAGACACTAAGAATTTTTTTGATACTGCTTAAGCACCTACTCTGCTCCTGCACAGCAGCCAGCTTGAAGTGGCCACTGTGTTTCCAGTCTGGGATCTTGATCCTGGGTTCTGGAGTGAGTGAAATGCACCTTATTGACAAAATATGGCATCTGCCCACTTGAATCAGTGTAGTGACTACCTAAAGGACTAAAGCAAAGCATTTGTCTCTGTTGTGTCCACCTTGGAGTTTGTTCCAGACACAGGACTAGCAAGCATAGCCTGAGGCACTGTAAGGTGAACTGAGGAGCCAGTGGCTGCCCGGGCAAAAGAGGGTGATGAGCGGTCAGGGTCAAAACCCTAGGAAGAGAATTTTCTTGGGAAATTGTAGCACTTAAAGCTACCCAAGAGTGAGTAATACGGAGAGCATACGCATGCCCAGAAAGACCCGAGGTAATCCTAAACTTTCTCCTCAGGTGGCTCTCCCAATCAGTATAAGTCTGGTTAAGGACTGCTCCAGCATAGAGCCATTCTGCAAAGAGTGCAAGAGGTTTTTTTCCCCTCAATGGTTCTTTTTCCATTTGTTTCTGCAAAAATAGTTTCGGAAAGTCACTAAGCTAACGAACTACCACAGCCTCCAACAATAGTAAAAGAGAGGAAAGGAAAAAAGAAGTGAAAGAAAAAAATAAAAAGCAAACCCTAAGGTTTGCAAACACTTCCCAGCAAATCCTAAGGAAGGGGAGAACCTGTGTTCTACAACTGCATTATTATACTATTCAAATGTTCCACTTTCAACAAAAATTCACAAGACAGGCAAACAAGGAAGGATAGCCCATTCAAAGGAAGAAAAACCGTTGGAAGACCAGACACTGGACCTATTAGATATAGATTTTGAAACAACTGCTTTAAATATGCTAAAAGAACAAAAGGAAAATATGGACAAAGATCTAAACGAAAGGAAGAATATGTAAACCAAATGGGAATATTAACAAAGAGATAAAGATTATTAAACAAACTCTGGAGCTGAAAAGCACAATGAATGAAGTGAAAAATTCACTACAGGAGTTCAAAAGCAGATTTAAGCTGGCAGAAGAAACAATCAGCCAAATTTGAAGATAGAATAATTAAAATGGCTCAGTCTGGTTGTTGAGAGACTGGAACACTTATACACTGTTGGTGGGAATGGAAAATGGTACAACCACTTTGGAAACCGATTTGGTGCTTCCTTAAAAAGCTAGAAATAGAAGTGTCATACAATACAGCTATCCTGCTCCTTGGAATATATCCTAGAGAAATAAAAGCCATCACACGAATAGATAAATGCACACCCATGTTCATTGCAGCACTGTTCACAGTAGCAAAAAGATGGAAACAACCTAGGTGCTCATCAACGGATGAATGGATAAAGAATTATGGTATATCCACACAACGGAATACTACGCAACAATAAAGAACAACGATGAAGCCATGAAACATAACATGGAGGAAGCTGTAGGTCATTATGCTGAGTGAATTCAGTCAGTCACAAAAGGACAAATATTGTATAAGACCACTATTATAAGAACTCAAGAAAAGGTTTAAACACAGAAGAAAACATTCTTTGATGGTTATGAGGGTGGGGAGGGAGGGTAAGGGTTATTTACTAACTAGATAGTAAATAAGAATGATCTTAGGTGAAGGGAAGGACAGCACTCACTACAGGGGAAGTCAGCACAACTGGACTAAACCAAAGCTAAGAAGTTTCCTGAATACAATCAAACACTTTGAGGGACAGAGTAGCAGCGGTAGGGGTCTGGGGACCATGCTTTCAGGGGACATCTAGGTCAACTGGCATAACAAAGCTTATTAAGAAAATGTTCCGCATCTACTTTGGTGAGTGGCATCTGGGGTCTTAAAAGCCTGCAAGCGGCCACCTAAGATGCATCAATTGGTCCCAACCACTTGGAGTAAAGGAGAACAAAGAACACCAAAGACACAAGGAAAAGTATTAGCCCAAGAGACAGGAAGGGCCACATAAACCAGAGACTTTATCAGCCTGAGACCAGAGGAACTAGATGGTGCCCAGCTACCACCAATGACCACCCTGACAGGGAACAGAACAGAGTGTCCTGGATAGAGCAGGAGAAAGGTGCAGTGCAGAACTCAAATTCTAGTAAGAAGATCAGACTTAATGGTCTGACTGAGACTGGAGGGACCCCGGAAAGCATGGCCCCCGGATTCTCTATCAGCCCAGAACTAAAAAAATTCCTGAGGCCAACTCTTCAGACAGGGATTAGACTGGACTGTGGGACATAAAGTGATACTTGTGAGGAGTATGCCTCTTAGCTCAACTAGATACAAGAGACTAAACAGGCAGCTTCTGTCTGGAGGTGAGATGGGAAGGCAGAGAGGGTTAGGAGCTGGGTGAATGGACATGCGGAATCAGGGGTGTAAAAGAGGAGTATGCTGTCACAGTATGGGGAAAGCAATTAGAGTCATATGACAATGTATGTATAAACTTTTGTACGGGAAAAAATTTAAAAATGGTTCAGTCTGAGGAACAAAAGGAAAAATGAATAGATCATAAGAGACCCATGGAACACCAATAAGTGGCCAATATAAGCACTATGAGTCCTAAAGGGAGAGGAGAAAGGCGGAGGAACCCCAAAAATATTTTAAGAAACAATGGCTGAAAACTTTCCAAATTTGACAAAGGACATGAATTTGCACATACAAGAAGCTGAACAACCTCCAAGCAGAATAAACCCAAAGCGATCTATGCCAAGACACATTATAACTAAACTGTCAAAAGCCAAAGCTAGAGAGAGGATCTTAAAAGTAACAAGAGGAAAGAAAATGGTCATGTACCAGAGCATCCCAATAAGACTAACTGTCAATTTCTCCTCAGAAACCATGGTGGCCAGAAGGCAGTGGGATGATATATTCAAAGTACTGAAAGAAAATATTCGTCATCCAAGAATCCTATACCCAGCGAAACTGTCCTTTAAAAATGAGGGAGAAATTAAGACAGTCCCAGATAAACAAAATATGAAGGAGTTTGTTACTACCAGACCTGCTCTAAAAGAAATGCTAACAAGTCTTCCAGTTTGAAAGGAGAGGGCAGTAGATGATAACTCAAAGCTGTATGAGGAAATAAAAGACCTTCAGTAAAAGTAATTTCAGGAAAAAATATACAGGCCAATTTTGCTGTATTTCTCATTTGTAACCATATTTGTTATGTTCTGCATGATATAAAAGACGAAAGTATAAATAATAATTATAAATATATGATACTGGACACATAAAAGAGCCCTGGTGGCAGAGTGGTTAAGTGTTTGGCTGCTAACCAAAAGATCACCAGTCTGAACCCACCAGCTGCTCTGCGGGAGAAAGATGTAGCAGTCTGCTTCCATAAAGATTTACAGCCTTGGAAACTCTATGGGGCAGCTCTTCTCTGTTCTATAGTGTTACTATGAGTCAGAATCTAATTGATGGCAACAGGTGTGGGTTTGTTTTTTTTTGCGGGGGGGGGGGCACATAATGTATAAGGATGTAATCTGTGACATCAAAAACATAAAGGGGGAAGAAGGAGTGGTATAAGAATGGAGTTTTTGTACGTTATTGAAGTTAAGTTGTTATCAACTTAAACTAGGCTGCTATAAATTTAGGATAATAAATGTAATAACCATGGTAACTACAAAGAAAATTTCTTTTAAAATAGACATAAAAGGAAATGAGTCACCACAAAAAAAATTAACTAAACGTGCAAAAAAGGGCAGTATTTGAGGAAATAAGGGACCAAAAAAAGCTATAAGATACACAGAAAAAAAATGGAATGCAAGAGTATTATATTGAAGATATACAGAAAAAAATGAGATGCAACAGTATTATTTGAATTGATTTTTACAATGCTGGCAAAAGTTGATCTTAAACAGACAGGTTCTCAAAGTCATTTTTTCCTAAAAGTTCTGTTAAATAAGAGAATGACTGATAATGTTTTGTTTTGTTTTTTTTTTTTAACTTGTACCAACTACGTGACAATGCTGCACTGCAGAAAAAAGAAAAACAGTTCTCTCGTCTTCGCAGCAGTTCTCCATAACCCAGCACATGCAACCTAAACAATGAGGTGAATGTCTAGATCTACCCGGAAAAGCATCTGCCAAAACAAACCAGTTATTTTTAAAACCTTGGTTTAGTTAAAACTCCTCTAAGAACACACTAATATTTGTACTTTAAAGTAGAATTAATTTTCTTTCAAGTATACAAACTTAACCCTCAAAATAATCAAAGGTTTTTATGATTCTACCACAATCTTACATATATGAACAAATTAAAAACGACGAGGAAAGAACTTCGTAAATAATTGCTTTATGCTTATTTAAGTATAGGACATTTTCCTCTTTTGAAATGTTACTTTCTCACAGAATTGAAATGCAAATAATTTGATATTTAGTATGCAAACAAAAAATATTAATATGATCAAATTCTACCCCATGCAATAAGCCCATTACTTATCACCATAATTATATAACCATAATTATGTTTAGTCTTTCAAAAGTCAATTACTATACGACCCAAGTTATAGAGTATATTGCTCTTATTAAAAGAATCTAAACATTTGTTTTTCTTATTACTATAACCCATTATTTTCTTTTTTCCCCCTTAAACAACCCATATCAAATTTCATCTATGTCTACTGTTAGTCTTTCTCTAAAAGGTCTATAATTTTACCTAACACCATCTGCAGATAGCATCTTACAGCATTATAAGGCATTAAGTTTTGAAAGAAACTATACTGTACAGTGGCCTTTAAAAAATAAAGTTTGAATAATTTTTCTCAGCAACTTTTTTTATATGCCTATTTCTTTGGAAAGTTACTTTTAAACACAGCTGGCATGACCTATTATGAATTATCCTCAGGACAATTTTCTTAATAGTAAAGTGAGAACAGGAAGAGATGAGCAGAAATAAGCAGTCATCCAAAAACAAAAACTTATAAAAATCAACACATTTTTAGAAACTCTGGAGTAGGAATGGTAAATAAATTTCACCTTAAACACCAACTCCAAGCAAATTACAGTAGCTGCATAAAGAATCTGTTAAAAATTATAAAACTAAGTCCAGTAGGCACCATTTCCCATCTGTCAGAGTGCTAGATGTTGTATGAAAGATTTTGTTATTCGTTTGGTTTGTTAATTCTAAAGAGCATTTGATCAAATCACATGCAAACTGTATGATTTTCAGTAAGTTACTTAACTCTGAAAGTCTCACTTTCTTCCTCTATAAAACAAGAAGAATCTTAATTATATCAAAAGGTTACTGTAAGAATAAAATGTTAAAATAGCATACATAAAATCTTTGTAAAGCGTAAAGTAATACACAATACAAGTTATTATTATTGGGGTTTATGCCTCTTCAAAATATTTACCCAGAATTCTGATAAGTTGTTCTTACCAAGTTAGCAGCACTCACATTTGAAATATCTGATGGGTCCATTTCATTTTCTATCCTTGCTTTCTCTGCTGGAAATTTGTCTTCATTTGTTTGCAAAGGAGGTATGTCAGCTTGCTGAGTAATTGAAACACACTCTGTATCAATGTGAACAGCAGGTATTTCAGATGTGCGCACAGAATTGTCTTGTAAGAAACCACTGCCAGAGTTCCTAACATCATCCAATGTACTCACTGTGAACTAACAAAACACATTTATAGAATGAATCAGAGATCATAAAAAACACTCACCAAGTTATTTCACACTAGAAAAGCTGATTCTGCTTAATCTATCAACTCTGAAGCAGCAGCTGACTATCTGACAGACAACTCACTCATTATCATCTCTTTTCTGTATGTTTCAATTATAAGAACAGAAGGAAAAAAAACAACATTAAGCAGCCACAAATTTTATCTGCATACCTATTATGCATCAGGCACTATCTGAAGTGCTCTAAGGGAGTAACGAATATCTGCAGTATATTGTAATTACATTTTCTTTCAGTATGCTAATTCCTGATGAGTATTTTACATCCCTCACAAAATAAATCTAGTCACCACCAAGTATAATACTTTGTCTTATATTCATACAACAAAGATATTTACACTCTATCTTAAGAAGACTATCTAATACGAAGTGAGGGTATTAAGTGCTTTTAAAAAACACCCTGAAGACATTTTTCATCAAAATATATTTGAGGACATTTTACCCAAAAATATGAAACTTGTTCTCTTTGGATAACATTAACACCTCAAAGTACCATTGATGAAGACCCACCTGGTACATAGTACCAATTCTCAGATATAAAAAACAAATACACTATAAAGGGGAGTACCGTATTTTTACACAAATAATACATGCCTTCTAGGTTTGTTTGCTAACCGCCCCTCCCCCCGACGAAGTATTTTCATAGGTGTGCTATTCTAATTTTTTTCACAGCAACATGTAAAAAAGAAAAAAAAAATTTGGCACAGCAGCACTTACAAAAATAGCAAATAGAACTAAACTTTTACTTTCACTTTCTAACAGGGTACAGAAAGAACAGTGCCATGTTTTCCAATTATACTCAGAGTAATAAGCTCCAAGTTGAAGAATTAAAATCTAAACTTGTGAATTTAGAACTCACTGACATCACTTCTTAAACAAACATTAGATAAATATTGCAGAGCCATAAAAACCCCAGTTTGATTAATTCTTTATATAAATATTAAACTTGGCCAAGTCTTATAAACTACTTTTAAAATTCTACTATTGGTCAGAACTTAGAGTGTCCCAAAGTATTGATTTCAGCATAAGCATTATTTGAATTTTATCACATTGTTTATATTGCTATCAATATTATTTATATGTCATTCACCATAGTTTATAATCTTCTTGACAATATTTATATTAGCATTACTGATGTTTATAATATAGTCAACCCTGTTTATTAAAAAATAAATATTATTTATACAAAATAAAAGATAAAACTATAAAGTAATGATGAGAAAATATACAAATATGCTAATTCCATTCTTAAAAGGACAGTGGAGAAAACAAATAGTCATTAGCTCAGCCATCATCAGCAGTAAACTTTTATATTGAACATTTTAGCAATAGTGCAATTACTCAAAAGTTCTGTGTACGGTTTATTCCTGAAATCTCAATTATTACATAAATTTACTCACTATACAAAACCAGCATAACTTTTACACTGTATTTTTTAGCTAAAATATATGTTAACAAAAATGCTAAATGTTTGCTAAGTAACATAAATAGTTATTTCTTCACCAGGCTTTAGTTTACATACATTAAAATTTTTCTTAAAATTACATTCAACAAACATGTACTGATTACTTCCTATGTGTTAAGGACTCTGGCTCCATATCATGGGAAATAAAAAAGCAACATAAGATAACTGCCTGCAAGATGCTTGCAATCTCACATGGGCATAAAACATACACACTAAGGAGTTATAGAACATTAGGAGCAGTGTAGGATTAAGAGCCATTAATAAGAAGGAAAACAAGAAAGTTAAGAGTTTCAATAAAAATAAATATCCTAAAAGTAAAAAGAGAGAATTTAAAAAAGCAGACACTATTCTAGACTGAAAAAAGTATCACAACTATTTTACAACTTACTTACCTAACTCCCATACTATAATTTCAAAGAATATCTCCTACATTTCATTAGTCATTTTATATAAAAGTATTCTAATTGAACATGAATCTTTATATATACAAATATATAAAAACGATGCATTCCTTCACCAATTAAATAAATTTCAAGTAGATTAACAGAACCAATATTGGGAATATTAACTTCAAAGAATACACTAAATAGTAGCAAATTGTTCTATAATTGATTATCAGAAAGTACAAGTAGAACAATTTTAAAATAATCTTTTCATCATTATTTTTAATAACACTCCAAATGAAGCAGAAGGATACCACCTTAACCAAGTGATGAAAGTTACCAACAAACTTGGGTGAACTGATACCATACACCTCTAAGGTGTGACACCTAAGGACAATCACTTTATTCCTGCCCAAATCGAATCATGAACAATGAGCATACAAATTGAAGGACATTTTACCCAAAAAAATGGCCTGTATTCTTCAAAAATATTAATGTCATGAAAGACAAAGACAGGCTAAAGAACTGTCACAGATAAAAGACAATAAATAAACAAAACCAAATACAATGTGCGATTCTGGATTGAATCTTGGATTGGGGGAAAAACTGTATAAAGAAATTACTAGGACAGATGGAAAATTCTGAGTATGGACTACAAATTAGATAATACTACATAAATGTTAAATTCCATGAAGTTGATAATTATACTGTGGTTATGTAAACAAATTTCCTTGTTCTCTGGTTATACGTATTTAAAGGTGAATGGTCATGATCTGCAAAATACTCTCTAAAATCAGCCTAAACTATGTGTACGTGACACGTATATAGACAAAGGAAAGAAAAAATATAGCAAAACATTAACTGGTGAATCTGGATGAAGGGTATATGGAGGCTCATTCTATTCTTGGAACTTTTCTGTAGATATAAAATTTTTCACAATAAAATGTTAAAAATGAAGACAAAAAGTAAGACATTCCAGCAAACACATATATACACCTTTTTTAAAAGGACAGTAAAAGGAGTTATTTTCAGAACGTACTACCTACCTGGGTTCTTTCAGCAAGAGGATGCTCACAAGAATGTAAAGAGTCTTTGGACCGAGATTCTACAGTATTAGAAGGTCCATCTCCAACAAATTCGCCTCTCTGTATGCTTTCATCAGATAAAAGACATACATTTTCTTTATCACTGTCATCCTTTGACCTTAACACTTCTGTTGCTAATGAAACTTTTGGCATCACTGCTGTCGATCGTGAACGAACAGGCCTTCCTCTCTGAACAGTCTCCCATCCTTCAGCATCTTTCCGTTCTATGCAATTGGGGGGAAGGGAATCAAGATTTCTTTAGAAGATGAAAATTTTCTGAAATCTATCAAACAAAACAATATTCTAATTTATTTCCTATTAAATATAACTAATATACAAACATGACACTAATTAGTCATGTTTGTGCAAACTATATTATATATATTATCTCTGATTCCTACAACTACCCTGTTTAAAAAAAAAAAGAAAATCCATTGCCATTGAGTCAATTCCCACTCACAGAGACCCTACAGGACAGAGTAAAACTGTCCCATTGGGTTTCCAAGGAGCAGCTGGTGGATTCGAACCGCCGACCGTTTAGTTAGCAGCCGAGTTCTTAACCACTATGCCACTAGGGTTCCTGGTAAGTAATAAAACTATAATAATTAAGGTTTATACAGTGTATATTAGGAGCCCTTGTGGCACAGTGGTTAAATGCTCAACTTCAAACTGAAAGGTCAGCAGTTTGAACCCACCAGCCACTCTCAGGAGAAAGATATGGCAGTCTGCTTCCGTAAAGATGTACAGCCTTGGAAACCCAATGAGACAGTTCTACTGTATCCTACCGGGTCGCTGTGAGTTGAAATTGACTCAACGGCAACGGGTACAGTGCACACTATGTGCCAACACTATCATATTATAGATGAGGAAACAGTCACAAACCTCACTAGTAAAAATAAAGCCAAAAAGTAAACGCACAGACAAACTGGCTCTGGTGATAGATGCTCAAATGGTTATGTAAAACTGCCTTTCCATCTTTCAGAATCCTAACTCTCAAATTCAATTTCTTTTCTCTATCTCAGTTCTAAAAACATACCTTGCCATAAACAAACTATTTCAATGATCATAAAATTATAGAATATTAATTGAAGAAATCCTAGAGGACCTAGTCCAATATTTTACCATACATACAAAGAAACTGAGGGTCCATGTCTAAAGTCACACAGCAAAAAAGCACAAAATAAGTATCTTCTTATAAAATGTTTCAACATGTCACATCTTGAGGTATATATGTATATAGTGATGCATATAGCCACAATGTAAAATATTATTAGTTAATTGTAGTCTTCCAAAATTAATATGAAGACTTGCAGTTCTGACCTAGATGAACTAGCCCTGTCTCCATCTCTGAGTCCACTGGACAAAACACAACAAACAAGCATAGGAAGAGTCTGAGACACAGAAAGAAGGCAGACTCCCCCTGGACCTTGGGACTTGAATAGCACAGCAGTGAGTTCCTTGAGTTTCCTTATTGCCTCCCATATATCCCACACAGGAGCTGCAGAAGCCTCCAGCCCAGAAACACTAACAGGTACAGAAAGAAAGAATCATCAAGATAAACCTAGAATACAAGTTATCTGCTTCCAAAAACAATGGTAGAGCAGGCATAGGACAGACATTCCCATTCCAAAAGGCAGAAATTGGAGAAGGAAAAAAGGGGTCAAGGGGTCACAAACACAACTGAAACCCAGCACAATTCACTAGATGTGAAGGCTTAAAAATAATCCTCTGTCCTCCAGGCCCAGCTGAGCAACAGCCCTGTCCCCTCTGAACTGGGCAGCAGTTCTGTGGGCCTCCCCTCCTGGGTCAGGAAGGGAAGGTGGGTAGCCCCATACCCTGGAACGAAGAAGGCAGAGGCCCCACCCCTCCAGACCCATGCCAGCAGCTCTGTTGGCCTCTCACTGCTCTGGGAATCATCTTTTCGTTTTCTTGAAGACTACAGATGTTCGTAGTCAAACAGTTCCATAGGCCCACTTCCTGACCATAAAATCCCAGGAGTTACAAAGTTTTCCTTCATTACATCTCATAAAGATTTCATCCCCTTCAGTCTAAACTGGCAGCATTCCTGTTGAGATGGATGATTGGATCCGTAAGTCACATGCCTAGTCTCCTTAGCAAACAGTTATCTAGCCACACCCGTACTGTTCTCACCAAAACACCTTCTCAATTATTAGAATATCAGTACGCTGAGAATTTACCAAATCTTCAAATTCTGGTTCCTTTTTGTACAGTTCAGTCTTCAATTTATCTCTTTCCCCTTGCATTTTCTTATAAGCAGCAAGGAGACGCCAGGCTGCACCTTCTAAATTTTGCTTAGAAATCTCCTCAGCTACATATCCAACACAGAGTTGCTGTAAGTCGGAATAGACTCAACAGCAACGGTATTTTTAATGGGTAAATATCCAAGTTCATCATCTACAAGTTCTACTTTCCACAAGCATTTGAACATAATTCAGCCAAGTTCTTTGCTACTTTATAACAAGCACTGCTTTTCCTCCAGGGTACAATAACGTGCATCATTTCCTTTTAAGGTCTCTCTAGAGGCAAAATCAATGTCCAAATTTCTAGCAGCTTTCTGTTCACAACAGCAGAAGCTTTCTCTACAGCTCTCCTCATTTTTTTTCTGATTCCTCACCGAATGGCCTTTAATATACATAATTAAGGCTCTTTAAGGCAATCTAGGCTTTTACTGTCACACACCTCAAAACTTTTCCAGCCTCTACCCATTACCCAATCGCAAAGCAACACTCCACTCTTAGTACCAAAATCTGTATTAGAGTTCTCCAGAGAAACAGAACCAAAAATATGTGTGTGTGGGTGGGGGTGTAGAAAGAGAAAGAGATTGATTTTACTGAATGGATTCAAGTGATTGTGGGGGCTGGTAAATACAAAATCCATAGGTCAGGCGACAGGTTAGAAACTCCGGCAGTCTTGTACGTGAAAACTCCAGCAGGATGTCTAAGTCTTGAGGCAGAATCTTTCTCCCTCACGAAACCTCAGTTTTTGCTCTTAAGGCCTTCAACTAATTGAATAAGGCCCAACCACATTAAGAAACATAATCTTTTTTTACTTAAAGTCAACTGATTTAAATGTTAATCACATGTAATGTCTTCATAGCAACATTGAAACTAGTGTTTGAACAAACTAGGTACCATAGGCTAGTCAAGATAACACTTAAAATTAACCACTACATCATCTATGAAAAACCAACAGCTAACATACTTAGTGGTGAAACACTCCATGCTTTCCCACTAAGATCTGGAAGAAGACAAGAATTTTTACTCTGACCACTTCTAGTCATTATAGCATTAGAGGTTCTAGTCAGGGCCAATAGGCAAGAAAAATAAAAGTCATCCATACTGGAAAGGAAGAAGTAAAACTATATTTATTCACAGATGACATGACCTTATACATAAAAAAATCCTAAGGAATCCACTGAAAATATATTTAAACTAATAAATGAGCCCAGTAAAGTTACAAGACACAAAATCAATACGTAAACCATCCAAACGTCCCTCAATGGATTAACTGATAAACAAAATGTGGTATATCTATGCAATGGGGTATTTGGCCATAAGAAGGAATGAATTACTGATACACGCTACAACATGCACGAATCTTAAAAATATTATGCTAAGTTAAAGAAGTCAGTCACAAAAGACCACATACCATGTGATTCCATTTTTATGAAATGTATAGAATAGGCAAATAGAGATAGATTAGTGGTTGCTTAGAGCTTGGAGGGATATGGGGTTAAGGAGGTGATAGCTAGAGGGTACAGGATTTCTTTCTGGGGTGAGGACTGCATTTCATATGTTAATACACTAACCACTGAATGTACACTTTAAATGGATGAATTCTATAGTATGCAAATAATATCTCAATAAAGTTGTAATGAAAAATTAACAGAAAGATATAGCTTATTTCTAAAGAACTGAAAACCTACATTAAGATGAAAATTAATTTTCTTCTGCTTGTTATAGACTAAAGAACTGCCATTTAGATTCATTAAAAGTAAGAAATTTTATTTCAAGGAAAAAAATACTTCGGAAATTCTCATTCCTGTAACTGATAATATTAACTGATTATGCTATTTTAAAAAATATAACGGCTAGGTCATATAGAGCCCTTGTGGTGCGGTGGTTAAGAGCCAGGCTGCTAACCAAACGGTCAAGCAGTTCGAATCCACCAGTTGCTCTTCGGAAACCCTATGAGGCATTTCTACTCTATCCTACAGAGTCGCTAAGAGTTGGAATCGACTCGATGGCAAAAGATTTGGGTTTTTGATATGCTCATATATTTTATATTTATTTTAAATAAAGATTATTAGAAAATACCTGTAATCTTTTACCTCACAAGTCTGGACTTCGAAATCTCTAAGAGGAAGGTGTGTTTAATTTTTTTAACTCTTTATTATGAAAATTTTTCAAATACACAAAATAGAATAGCATAATGAATTCCATGCTCCCATCATCATCCACCTCCAACAATTATCAACATTCTGCCACTCTCATGTCATGTTTCCCCTTCCCCATTGTTCTTCTAGAAATATTTTGAAGCAAATACTAGACATCATATCATTTCACCTGTAAATTCTTCAGTATATATCCTTAAAGTGTAGGAATTTTTAAAAAAATATAACCACCACACCATTAGGATGAAAAACAAAATTAATAATAATGCCTTAAAATCATATAATATCCAGTCAACATTTAATTTTCCTCCATATTTAGTTTTTTAGAAACTCAGTACGTAATTTTATACATTTCCGCTTTAACATCCTTTAAATATACATAAAATGTCAACTAAGAGAAAATTCATATAATAAAGCTTAAAAAAAATACATATACCGAAAAGAAAGTAATAAAAATAATTAAACTTTAAAATTGAGAAAGTTTAACAGAAGATGTTAGTTTTCAGCTGATTTACCTGGCTCACCCTCAGGAGCACTATGATTAATCACTTTACTTTTTTAAAAGAAAAGAAAAACACTCCTCTTTGAAAGCTTCCTTATAGGAAGAAATACTGCTTAAAACTTGGACCTCCTCCACTAACCAATGAGATGGCCAACACAAACACTATCATATAAGAAAAAAATCAAAATAATAATTGAAGCAAGTCAAAAGTGAAATAGGAACTATAACTCAGGTTTCTTAGAAACTAGTTATGGACAAATAACATTTTTAATGTACGTTCAGTGAAAACTATGTTGAAAAATTATTCCCATAATAATATTTGTTTAGGACAGCAAAACAAGCAATTAAATTTTCACTCTAAATACTATGATGATCTTAAGAAAGAAGCACACAAAGAACAAAACTACATTTCATATTACGATTTTTACAGTCCAGAACATTTTTTTAAATTTACAAATGTAGTTATTAAACTAAACAAAACAAAACCCACTGCCATCGAGATGATTCTGACTGATAACAATCCTATATAAATTCAATTCAACTAATAACTCAAGACAACCTCGAATAATCCCAACCCGATTGTGATGCATTATCAATTTTCTTTATCATTGATTTAATTTAATATTTTTAGGATCAGCATTTAAGAGATAATATTCTGCTTTATTGCAATTTTCTTGTTAGGTTTTAATATTAAGGATATGCTAGCATCATGAAATAAGCAGAGGGAGGTACACTAATATGCCATGGGCACAGTGGGCAAATCTGTATTTGCTAACTGCATGGTGAGGATCAGCATGAATCCAATTACCACCTGGAAAACAGATCCAGAACTAACTTCTTTGTCCTCATCACTAGCTGCCCTAGTGGCACACTCTCTCTCCAACCACCGGCCACCCAGAGCTGGACTGGAACTCTGTCCTTCAGATAGGCTGCCCAAACAGCCCTTCTCTGATACTAGCCACCCCAAGCCAGGTGAGAACACACAAGTTAGAAGGCCCCAGTCCTTCAGATCAACTGCCTGTGCAGACTTTCTCTGACCCAGACACCCTGAGCTAAGTCAGCACACAAGTTAGAAAGACTGTCCTTCAGACTGCCAAATTGGCAGATACCACTACTGCTATCTCTCACTGCCCCTGGGGTTCATTAATTCACTGAACTAGCTTACAGAATTCACGGACAGTATCTATACTTACAGCTACCCATTTATTATAATAAGAACACAAACGAAAAGACATACCAGGTGAGTTCTGGGAGGGGCACCTGCACAAGACTTCCATTTTCCTCAGGGACGGGTGGCCCATTCCTGGACATGCATAGTTATTCTCGCCAATCCAGGAAGCCTCTGAACTTCTGAGTTCAAAGCATTTTATTGATTTCATTGCATAATCATGACTGGGATCTCATTTCACAGTCATGATCCACTGAATCATTGAATATGCATGATTAGATTATGCCCTTCTCCCTGAGGTTAGCTGATTGGCTGGGGTCTGTATAGCCCCCACTCATCTGCACACATTCTCAGGTGCTAGCTATAGATTTTACATAATAAAGGCACCTCTACTGCTAGGGAATTCCAAGAGCTATTTTTCAGGAACCAAAGACAAAGGCCAAATCAAGTTCTTTGTATCAAAAGAGAGTTCCTTCTTTTTTTATTCTCTGGAAGTTTCTATAAAGCTAAGGTTAATTTTAGCTTAAATATTTGGAAGAATTCACTGGCAAATTTATCTTGGCCTGGAATTTTCTTGGGGGAAAGATTTTAAAATACAGATCACTTTTTAAAAATATTTACAGAATGTTTCAAATGCTCTAATTCTTGCTATTGTCCCTTAGTCTCAGTTGATTTAGATCCCCTGAACTGTTTGTTTCCTCGCTTGGCTGAATTTTTGTTGTGTTTTTCAAGGAATTTGTCAATATCTTCTAATTTAGAGTACAACATTGTTAACAATAACTTTTCATTATCTTTTAGTATCTGTGGGATTTCTAGCAATGTTCCCTATTTCATTCCTGCCTTCTCTTTTCTTTCTCCTATCAGTATTTCTAGAGATTTATTAACTTCATCAGTCTTTTGAAAAACTACATTTGGCTTTCTTGATTTTCTCTGCGCTCACCTATATACCTTCCTTCCTTCTATGTTCCTTAGGTTTAACTTGCTATTCTTTTCTAACTTCTTAAGATGGACATATCAAGGATTTTAGATTGTCTTCTTTTCTAATATGTGCATTTGAAGCTAGAAATTTCCCTCAAAGTGTAGCTTTAGCTTAATCTCACAATTTTTTAAATGTTCTATTTTCATTTTTATTCAATTCACATTTTCTAATTTTCACTGTGATTGCTTCTCTGACTCATGG